TAACTCCTTCTTCCATACAATATAATACACCATGAATACAAAGTATAAATCTTTTAGTATACGGCAAGTTTGTCTCCTTTGGCCTCTGTAAAATGAAAATGAGTACATAGGAAGATCATTTTCTTGGGCGATTTAAAGGAAGCTACATAGGAACAGCTAAATTCCCCCAAATAGCAAAATAAATATATAAATGAAAAATCTGTATTATCCTTATGCAGGTATTGCTGCAACTTATTTTGTTAAAGAATATTATGTTATACCTGAAGATTAATTTCTCCCACAGCCAAGTATTATCCCCTATGAAATGCAAGAAAATTAACAACCCCAGACCAGATATACCCCATCACACCGAGCATCAATTCACACGCCATACTGACTGCAGTGCCATCTAGTGTCTGTATAGAGACATGAAAGAATGACAGTAGAAAAAGAGCAACAGGTCCATTGAGTTCATTCCCTATAGATATTTAACATTTGGGGTTTAATTACCTCTTTGGATTTTGAGACACCACTAGATTTCTCTAGTGATAACTAAAGATCTATATAGGGGAATCAGGACCTCCTTCCTATTGCTGGGGATCCGTCTAGTGATACCTAAAGATCTATATAGAGGAATCAGGACCTCCTTCCTCCTGCTGGTGATCCCTCTAGTGATATAAAGATCTATATAGAAGAATCAGGACCTCCTTTCTCCTGCTGGGGATCCCTCTAGTGATATAAAGATCTATATAGAGGAATCAGGACCTCCTTCCTCCTGATAGTGATCCTTCTAGTGATACCTAAAGATCTATATAGTGGAATCAGGGCTTTTTTCCGCCTGCTGGTGATCCCTCTAGTGATAACTAAAGATCTTTTATAGAGGAATCAGGACCTCCTTCCTCCCCCTGGTGATCCCTCTAGTGATCACTAAAGATCTATATAGAGGAATCAGGACCTCCTTCCCCTTATGGTGATCCCTCTAGTGATCACTAAAGATCTATATAGAGCAGGGATGCCAAACTCAATTTCATTTCGAGCCGTATCAGCAATATTCCCTCCAAGAGCCGGTTGTATCTGAGGGACAATATAAATGTATCTACTCTTTATCATATTAAATAATTCAATTATTACGGACTTAAGCTGTGAAGAGCAGATGCAGACTGGCATGAAACCCACTTACACTCCTGTAGTAGATAATGCAAGTCATAAAAAGAGAGTCGCACATCGCTGGTATCACCCACAAGAAACTTTATTGGAGGCTGCTCAGACAGAACATGGTTCTTCCATGGTGTTTGGTGTCTGAGAATTCTCCAATAAAGTTTCTTGTTGATGACACCAGCGGTGTGTGACCTTACTTTTCAACTGGCATAGAATTGTATTATTCTCATAATTATGAGATGCACCCCACCCGATTACATCAGATGTCATGAGCCCTCTCATCATCAGAATTCAAGAGTCCCCCACCCTCTCTTACATCATAGTACACCCCCTTACCTTGTGCTGCTGATCTGAAGAAGCTGGAGGTGAAGCTGGGGAGCAGAAATTTCAGGGTCTGGAGGAGGACCAGAAGAGGGCTGCAGTCAGCTGCCAGAGTCTGCAGAATGCTGACACCAGGGGAGGCAGAGACAATGGGGTGCTGCAGCTGCAAAGGGAGGTGCATGATCTGTAGGAGGAGTTCTGTCCTCCACTCTGCTGGGAAGGGGGGTGGGGGCAGATGAACAGAGATGAGCCTCTCTGTGACTGCACGCAGAAGGGCAGGATCTGACGGAGAAGTTCTGTCCTACTCTCTGCTGCCAACTGTGGGGACAGAGACGGGGGGGGGGGGGTGCTGCAGCTGCAGGAGAGGTGCGAGGGCTACTTGATCCCTCTCATAATGATAACTAAAGATCTATATAGAGGAATCAGGACCTCCTTCCTCCAGCTGATGATCTCTCTCGTAATGATAACTAAAGATCTATGTAGAGGAATCAGGTCCTCCTTCCTCCAGCTGATGATCTCTCTCATAATAACTAAAGATCTATATAGAGGAATCAGAACCTCCTTCCTCCTGCTGGTGATCCCTCTCGTAATGATAACTAAAGATCTATATAGAGGAATCAGGACCTCCTTCCTTGTGCTGATGATCCCTCTCGTAATAATAACTAAAGATCTATGTAGAGGAGTCAGAACCTCCTTCCTCCTGCTGGTGATCTCTCTCGTAATGATAACTAAAGATCTATATAGAGGAATCAGGACATCCTTCCTCCTGTTGATGATCTCTCTCATTATGATAACTAAAGATCTGTATAGAGGAATCAGGACCTCCTTCCTTCTACTGATGATCCCTCTCGTAATGATAACTAAAGATCTATATAGAGGAATCAGAACCTCCTTCCCCCTGTTAATGATCTCTCTCATAATAACTAAATATCTATGTAGAGGAATCAGAACCTCCTTCCTTCTACTGATGAACCCTCTCGTAATGATAACTAAAAATCTATATAGAGGAATCAGGACCTCCTTCCTTCTACTGATGAACCCTCTGTAATTATAGCTAAAGATCTATATAGAGGAATCAGAACCTCCTTCCTTCTACTGATGATCCCTCTCGTAATGATAGGATCCCTCTCGTAATGATAACTAAAAATCTTAATAGAGGAATCAGGACCTCCTTCCTTCTACTGATGAACCCTCTCGTAATGATAACTAGAGATCTATATAGAGGAATCAGAACCTCCTTCCTCCTGCTGATGATCTTTCTTGTTATGATAACTAAAGATCTATATAGAGGAACTGAGACATCTTTCCTCCTGCTGGTGGTTCCTCTAGTAGTAAAAAATACCTAGACCTTTACAGACGAATCAGGTCCTCCTTCCTCCTGCTGGGGATCCCTCTAGTGATACACCCCAGAATTCTATTTGCTTCCTCCTCTGTAGTTCTGGTCAACACTGTACCCCCAATATTGTACTCTATCAGAGGATTATTTTTTCTCTAAGTGCATTCATTTGTATTTAGAAACTTTGAACTGCAATTTCTAACGCTTTGACCAATCTTCCAGCAATGCCAAATCATGTTCCACATTACAAACACCTCCAGGAAAAGTTACCTTAATGCACAAATCTTTTCACATCATCAAAAAGCCATTGGCAGAACATTTTTGCTCTGATACGATGGGGTGGATGGAACTCATGTATTTATATCGATGTAATAAATAGTTGTTTTCTATTACACATGTGCCTTTAGTTACTATTTTGCTTTGATGCTGAGATCATTTGAAATTTCACTTTTTCTCTGTTCTTTACTATTATCATGTCCATATGCCTTAATCTCTGCTCTTTGCACTTATTCTAAAACTGGCCACACACATTGCAGTTTTATTGTTCTATATTATAAATATGTCCTTAAAGCGGAGTTCCACTGATACTGTAAAAAAATAAAAGTCAGCAGCTACAAAAACTGTAGCTGCTGACTTTTAAAAAACAGCCACTCACCTGTCCCACGATCCCGTGGTGTCTTCCCTGCAGCCTGTTTCACCAGCCGTATGGTGTTCCAGGCGCCGACATCTGCAGTGTGGGCACCCGGCTGTGACAGCTTGTGGCTTCACAGCCGGATGCCCACTGCACATGCACGAGAAGCGCTGCGCTTTGTGAATGGCCCCGTAGTCTTCTGGGACCTGTCACGTGTCCCAGAAGACTATGGGGAGGGAGGGGAGGAGGACAACTTCCGCTTCCGATTGCCTAGGCGATTGCAGCGGAAGTGGAAGCGGGTACCTGTCAATTTCGGGTACCCGTTCCCCCCCCCCCCCCCACGCTCCCCAAAGGTGCCAATCCTTAATGGGGAGCGGAAGACCAGTCTTTAAAGGGGAATTTCCCCCTTTTGGGTGGAGCTCCGCTTTAATCCTCTATTTCAGTGGTCTCCAAACGGCAGCCCAGGGGTAAGATGCGGTCCTTTGCTTACTTTTATCTGACCCTTGGGGCCCTATTTTATCCACGATACCAATAATGGGGCATAATTCCTCTTACTGACACCAGTGAAGGGGCGCAGTTCCTCCCAATGACACCGATGATGGTTCATGGTTTCTCCCAATTACACCAATGATGGGGACCAGTGACACCAATGATGGGGCACAATTCCTCCCAATGACACCAATGATGGGGCACAATTCTTCCCACTGACACCAAAGGTGTCAGGACCTTCTCTACTCCTAGTGGCCACAGCCCAGCCCCCCTAAAGTCTGAAGAACATTAAACTGACCCTTTGTTTTGAAAGTTTGGAAACCCCTGCTCTATTGATTCCTCAATGATACCTTTGTATACCATTTAACATCAACAGAATAATCCAGCACCTTTACCTGCTTTGTGAGTAATGCAGGCCATAGACGGGTCGTTTATCGGCCGAATTTTCGTCCAAACGAAAAATCGGCCGATATTCACACCATTAGTGGGGCAAAGCCGTCGGCCATTTTTCACGGATCTTCTCGTTTCTCTTTATCGGTCATGCTGGAAAATCCACGAAAAACTGACGTTTTTCGTAAGTATTGGTAGCAGCATCCATGGCAGCAACGACCGATTTTTCATTGATCGGCCGACAATTCGGCCGACAAATGGCCCGTCTATGGCCAGCCTTAGTAACATGCTGAATGTATCTATTGATGTTCAGTGGTCCTTGATTGTGATATAGAATTACTGAATGATGTAACGATATGATTCTACCTGACCGGATGTAAGTGAACTCACTGTAGATTCAATCTCTTCCACTATTGCTATCTAAAGGAGATTGTACAATCTGATTGTATTGTGTATGGCCAGCTGAAGGGAAGTTTTCTTCTTTTTTAGGGTAATGAGTAGATTCCAGGCTGGTTGTCCAGTAGTAACATTTGGACTCAGAAGTCGGGCTCTTGCGCTCTCATTTATAATTAAACTGATTCTTTTTCTCTAATCTTTTTTCTCAGCTCCTTTCTCTCTCCCTCCTGGGGACGATCATGTCATCTCTATGGCAGTGTTCGCTTCCTGATGCTATTTCTTTCTTTCTTTCAATTGCAGTCACCCAGGACCCTGTCACCGACTCCATCTGCGGAGGTGAGTCCTAATATCCGGCCTACTTTCTGTCTGTAATCTCTGAACACAAAACACTGAGGGCAGATTTACATCTTTGTGGCATGTTATGTCATGTGTTAATGTGCATTGTGGCCTGGAATGAGATTTCAAGGTGCCACAAGGTGAAAAGGAGGCGCACACCAATAACGTGAGTCCAGTTAAAATCTTTATTGCATAGGGCAGGAAGTCACAGGAAAAATCCAACGCATTTCGGGGGCTCAGTACTCCCCTTCGTCAGGGCTTTGATGCTGAAAGTAAATGGGGAGAATATGAGACAACAGGATGTAAGGTAATGCCTCATGTAAGAAGGGGGCATAAGGGTGTACAGCATAAACTGGGGGTGTATTTCCATGCCCTGCAGACACAGTCACAGCTGCCTATAGTAATCAATAGCTGTACACTAGCTGTAGGCAGGTATATGCCATACTTACAAGAGATATTAAACCCAAAACCAAAAATGTAATATATTGCAGTTTACCAATCATTAGATGTGGTGGCTGCACTAGTTTTCTTTTGTTTGTTTGTTTTTTTCCCTCTGTTTTCACCTGGTGATCTGGCCAGTAAAACACCTCTTGTATTAGAGTGACCCCGATTTGGATGAATGAGCAACAGGGGGCGCAGCAGACAGCAGCATTGTCAGTCTGGAGGGGAGTGTTAAATGTACTATTGGATTTAAATACACTAACAAATTGAAGCCAAAGTCCAGCTAACACTTTATAAAGTTACAGCAAACCGTTTTTTTTCTTTTTGGGATAAAGGTTTTACATCAATAAATAAGGTAAGTAAGGTAAATAAAAGGTAATCATTGTGGTTGTCTCATCCCTGTGAACTGATACATTTGGAAAAGAGCTTGTTCTTTTGAAAAATAACAGACATACTGGTCAGATTACCAAATAAAAATAGAAGAATGAAAACCTGAAAAAAAAAAAACTAATGCAGCTGCCACATCTAAGAATTGGTAAGCTGCAATTTCATAAATGTTTGGTTTTGGGGTTAATGCTGATTTAAATTTGCACATGGACACAAATTGCTGGATACGCACAACCTGCATTCAGGGATCTACGTTAGTGCACAAGCTTACCTAAGTACGCCATCTACAACTAGCATTCAGTTATTCGTTATAATGGGCAGTTGTATGTTGCAGCGGTGCTTCCCAGGTGGGGAAATTCACCAACAAGGTGTTGTACGGCCCCTGCACCCATGTGCATGAGGCCTAATAGGATTAAACATGCTCATTTGCTTCGTCAGTCAGGCAGTGTTCTCCCTATTCACTGTCAGCATCTAAACCTGATGAAGGGGCGCTCTGAGCCCCTGAAACATGTTGGCCTTTTTCTTGTGACCTCCTGTCATAATAAAGATTTACTGGACTCACATTATAGTTTTGTTGTTCTCATTCTTTTCCCATTTTTTAGTCTACCCCTGCTAACAGATAATTGCTTTTACATTTTGGATTCAAAGTCATATCCATCCTGTTTTGGGTGCAGTGCTTTACCAACATGTTTACCATCAAAGTGCCGCAACAGACCTTTTAATAGCCCTGCCCTTTTTTTTAATTATAGATTCGCATCTGTACATTGTGGTCGAAGGTGTGTTATGTGCATTGGTGTGTTTGTGTGATTGACGCTCCTTATTGCAGTTTTAAACACATATTCAGACAAGCGCCACAGACGCTCAATATCAGGTGTTGGCTCTCAGCTTGCCTCACTTTGTTTCTGTTGATATGAAACGCATCAGTAGGGGGAGCTCAGGTGAATTGCCGTGGTGTACCAGGAATTTACTTAATACAAACCTTTTGGCTATTGATTTGGATTGCAGCTTTTGTCTTCTTTTGGAAATTGTTTTTTATTTATTTTTTTGTAGTGTTGTTTTTTTTTGTTTGTTTTTTTTTTTGGAGGTGTATCTATAGCCAAAACTCTTAGTTTTGAAAAGAGTGTGGAAGAATTGGAGTTCTCCCTGGAGTGTGGAAGAATTGGAGTTCTCCCTGGAGAGATTCAAGTTCTTTATTTGTCCTGGTGACCATTGCCACTCAGATTAACAGGGATGGCATATCCAACATTTTACAGCTGTCAAAAGAGAGATGTTTTGCCCAGGTATATTCCCCTCAGAGGTAGACTGTCCGTGCTCTGGCTCTACGTGTCTTCTCAACATGGTCACAGCTTGAGAATAATGATTTGAAGAGCCGGCTACTCGTCTTCCCGAATATTCATCTTTATTAAAGCGAATATGGTGTGCAAGTAAAATGGCTTACGCATTTCGTCAATAATCCTTACTCATAGCCACAATTAAGGCTTTTTGCCGAAACGCGTAAGCCATTTTAATTGTACACCTTACTTTCTATAATAAAGATGAATATTCGAGAAGACGAATAGCCGTCTCTTCATTATTTTACATTTGTCATCAGAATATTAATCTGTTGACGCCAACCATATGCAAATATGCGGCCTGTCGGCGGCCCTTAACACCACGAGGCCGCTTACTTGCATACACAAAGTAAACACACATGTCGAGAGCGCGTGCCCTACGTGCTCACGGAAAGGTCCTGATCTCAGATAGTTCCAAATATGTGACCATTGTGACAACCAATCATGGCGGTCATATGACCCTAAACCCTGTCTCCTGGCATCACAAACCCGAGAGGCGCCGGCACCAAAGGGGTTAAGAGGGCGAACCTTCCAGCAGGGACACCAGGTCTAGTGACAACTGTCTGAAGCTGGCTATACACTAGTATATTTTCAAACAGACAGAAATTTGTATGGATATTTGTACGAACATTTTCAGCGTATTCGGCAATTTCACGAATGTCGGAAAGTACTTTAACATTTTATTGCCTTTTAATATTCGGTTTTGGAATTAATGTAATTTCCTGAATGAAAACCGCATACACTTTTCCACCCTGCTCCTCTTAATTTTCTCATCATTGCACTGAAAACAAACCTCAATTTTGACCGCACTAATGATTAGAAAAATTTCATTTTTGACAGGTTTCCTCTCACTTCCTGTTTTGTCTCCGGACAGGAAGTGAAGAAATATTTATCAAATGTGAATACAGACAGCAGTTCTAACTAATCCCTATTCTATCCAAAGTTAATGGAAAGAAGAAGCTTAGCCCTTCAAGAAACTTGAGTACCAGTTCACACCAGAACGAGGTGCGGGAAAGCCAACGTTCTGTGCGAGTTTCCCACACCGTGTGTAAGACGCACGCGTTTAACGACACCCCAAATGCAGGTTGCAAATGCAGTGCATTTGTTTACATTGGATCACATGATTCAGTAGTACCATGCGATCAAATTGCTGTGCATTTTTTAAAGTAGTGCATGCACTACCTTTGGTGCTGTCTGGCACAATTTCAGCCTGTTCGAATGAAGGGGCTGAAATCACACTGCAACCGATCACATGTCAATTGGACAGAAACGCACAGCACTGTGCTGTGTGATTCATTCAGTGAACTGGCCCTAAGGCTAGGTTCACACTATGAATCGCACAGGAATGCGCACCACCCCATATGGAAGAAAAATATATTTAAAAAATTTTCTTCCCAAATATATTGACATATATTTGAAATGCCACAATTTTGGCCATATTCAATATATTTAAAAATATATTTTAATAAATCTATATATATAATTATATATACTGCATGTTGAAATGCATTTTTATTACAAGAGATATGAAAACTATTTTTAAAAATACATTTCAAATATACTGTATGTCTTTAAAAATACAAATCTACATTTTTGGAATGCATTTACAAATTTATGTAAAAATATATGTTAAAATGACTTTTTTATATGTTAAAAAATATCTGAAGGATATATTTAAAAAATATATATTTTTTAATATAAAAAAAAGGCATTTTAACATATATTTGTAAATGCATTCCAAAAATGTAGATTTGTATTTTTAAAGACATACAGTATATTTGAAATGTATTTTTAAAAATATTTTTTATGTATTTTGTAATAAAAACGCATTTCAACATGCAGTATATATATATAATATAATAGTGAAATAGTGTTGGCTAGGGAATTTTTTTCTCCTTTGGTGCAACATTGCCATTAGTTATGTCATACCCAGTATGCGTTAAGTTAGCACCTGGTAGGGATTAGCAAAATTTTTTTTTATTTCTCTGAAATTCAGATTTCGGTGAAATGTTGCCATTTTGGGAAAGGCAAAATGAAGGTTTTTTTTGGCTAAAAATGGTCTTTTGGGCCGGTTTGTTAACGTGTGTTGGGTCCATACCTGGGAATTTGCCAGAATTAACCCAGCAATCCTGGAATTTCGACACGGTTGCCAAGTCATCTCCAGGGCGGTTGGCCTTCATTATTTGTAATCATTCTGCAGTGTGAGTGGGAATGACAACCCAATTGATACAGCCCAGCAGTTCACAAAATGTACTAACTCTATATAGCTCTAAAACTAATTCCCTGCATTGTTGGACCAATCAGATGCCTTGATTTTGCAGGAAGTTTGCACAGAGGTCAAATCCACACCTACAAATTCCAAAAGCTCCTTTTGCCTATCCTGGACTTGTTCTTGTGATAAGAAAAGGCCACTCATTAGCTTCATTATTTTTTTATCCACAGACTTGCTCCTAGTGGAGGAGCTAGGCCAGCACAGACAGTAATTCGATGCATACAGTATATACATACCAACATTATGATCCCAGATGTTGGGATGTTGTTAACCATGTCCCCGGTGTGCAATATCCAGGTGGGTTCACCCAAATCACATGCACTTCATGGGTTGGTCCTGGCCAGGCCCGGCCTCTGAATATGGGCTGACTGCTCACTCATAGTCCCCCTACCATTAATTAAAGTGGGTGTAAACCTCAGACATAAAATATGAACAAAACATATCCCTATATAGCAGTGGTCTCCAAACTGCGGCCCTTTGTTTGCCTTTATCCGGCCCTTGGGGCACTTTTCTTCCCGCTGATACAAGACACTATTCCTCCCACAGACAATAACAATGGGGCATAATTCCTGCTACTGATATCACCAGTGGGGCCCATTGACACCAACAATGAGGCCCTATTTCTCCCACTGACACCAATGAACAATGGGGCATAATTCCTGCTACTGATATCACCAGTGGGGCCCATTGACACCAACAATGAGGCCCTATTTCTCCCACTGACACCAATGATGAGGCACTCAAACTGACACCAACAATAGGGCACTATTCCTCCCACAGACACCAGAAATGGGGCACTATTCCTCCCCTTAATACCAAAGATGCATTGTTTACTCCCACTGACACCAAAATAATTTCAATTCCCAATGGCCACAGACTGGCCCCCATAAATGTCTGAAGGACAGTAAACTGGCCCTTTGTTTGGAAAGTTTGGAGACCCCTGTTCTATAGTGTGTACCTGTCTTACTCCAGAGCACCAACTGTCATTTCTGTGTGCTGCTTTTGTTCCTCTGCCATCTGCATGAGTCACTTCTGACAAGTTTTCCTGACACCAATAGAAAAAAGTTGACAGGGGAGTGAGCTCCAGCACACAGCCTGTGATTGACAGCCTCAACACTGTTCCTGTGTGCTGTGTGAAGGGGTTGCGTATGTCCTTTTTCCTCCAATCAGCTCTCAGAGCCCTCCTCACTGAAATCTACAGTGTGTAATTTCAGCTCTCTTCCCCCTGCTTTCTGAAATCTCAGACAAGCTGTATAAATTGTAGACTTTGAATGGCTGCAGAGATGAGGAACATCAGATAAACAGGTACAACTTATAGAGGAGGATTTGTTTCATCTCTGTGTATCATCTTAGGCTAGTCCTTTCACTTGGAATATATAAGGGTTTGCAAGCATTTTAATGCCTTTTTGAGTTACTGTGCATGTGTATGGCCTGGGACACAATATCAGCAGGAGAGAGGGCCAAGATGCAGGACTGGGACAGTCAATATCTATGAAGTCTATGAGGTCCAAGGTGGGAGGGGGCTCTGTTAGGGAACCGACTCTTCCTGGAGTAGTCACATATCCTAGCAAGTTCAAAGGCAGGTTGTAAGTGACTAAAAACTAACTCATGGAAAGGAAAAAACGTTGCAAGTAAGCATTTAAAATGCATAATGGTCTGTGCTTGTCCTACAATTCTTGAAGTTGGTGACAGGGCCTCTTTAAACTCTGTGGCCAGTTCTCTGGGTGATGCCTTATGGGGTTCTACAGGTTGTCACTAGTCTGAATATTATATTTCTTATGTGTCTTGGGGGTCAGCATGTTTTCTGTGTCATTGTAGGGCTACCAGGATGGACGGGAACGGATAATCCAGCGATCTACCAGTCAGGGATCCATCAACTCTCCTGTGTACAGCCGCCATAACTACACCCCCACTGTCTCCCGCTCACCCCAGCACTTCCACAGACCCGGTAAGTACCAGGCATCGAGTGTGTCTGAGACCTTGCGTAGGAGGGGGAGGGGGGATAAAGTGTTAATAAACCCAACACACCAAGACTTCGCCATCCTTCTCCTGTGTTCAGAGGACTTGAGATCAGAAGAAGACACAATTGTGCGGTTGATGTATAGACATATGAAAAGGGCGACAAAGCAAAGACGATACAGTCCAAGATGCTTTGAGTTGTTCGAAATTTGATCATCTAAAATTACCTGACACATTTCAGGGCAACAACATTCCTTTCATCAGGGCTACACAACAGACATATAACATCATACATTAAAACTGATGTCCAATACAGAATTATAAAACCAGATAAAAGACTGTAGTATCAGAGAGCAAACTCAGTCCCAACAAAGATACTGATTGGGTCCAGATTCTTTCTGTCAGTCCGAATCTGAATAATACAATCTGATTGGCCAACGCAGACAGCTCTGGTTTAAAGAGAATCAATCATGATCAACCACATGTGGGAAATTACTGCAAATGTCTAGCAGGTTTTTATCTCTGTGACCACTTTAGAGAGACCTCCCCTCACTTCCTGTCCCTATGATGGAACCTGTTGTCCTCAAGTTGTCATGAAGCTGCCAAAGCACTTCAGGCATGCTAAATAACACTTAAAGAGTTACTAAACCCCGGACCCTGCATTCACTATATCTGATCTCCCCGGACCCTACATTCACACTGGTCTTCCTGGACCCTGCATTCTCTATATCTGGTCTCCCCGGACCCTGCATTCATTATATCTGGTCTCCCAGGATCCTGCATTCACTATATCTGATCTCCCCCGGACCCTACATTCACTATATCTGGTCTCCCCTGGACCCTGCATTCACTATATCTGGTCTCCCCAAGACCCTGCATTCACTATATCTGGTCTCCCCGGACCCTGCATTCAATATATCTGGTCTCCCCGGACCCTGTATTCACTATATCTGGTCTTTCTGCACCCTGCATTCTCTTTATCTGGTCTCCCCAGGACCCTGCATTCACTATATCTGGTCTCCCACAGTACACAGAAAATGGAAATGTAATTATTTTAGTAAATATAAACTGATAAATACTCTTTCTTATCAGCAGTATATAGCAGTCTTGTGACTTCTATCAGTATCCAGCTGAGCACTAGTTAAAGCTTGTAGGTGGAGTTTTCATTCTTCCCTGATTGTCTTATGAGGCTGCATAACCCCTGACCCTCTGTCTGGACAGCGCTGATTGGCCCTCTCCCAAAGGAAAAAAAAAATCTCTAGCAATACACACCAAACTGAGCATGTGCAGCTTGCCCCCAAGGCTCTGTTCTATCAGCAGATGGATTGGGGACAGTAGAAGAAGGGAAGGACCAGAGAAGACAGGAGCAACACAATGCGAAGCATTAACTCCTTAGCTTCCGCTGTGAGTATAACAAGCATGCTTTACTGCATATAAAGACTGATTTTTCTGTGGGTTTAGTAACACTTTAAGGCATGCACTAGTGATCTCTTAGTCACAGCAGCATGCCTCAAGTGCTAGTTAGTCCATCTTAAGTGCTTTTGCAGCTTGATGGCTCAAGGCCCTTATCAGAAGTTCTAACCCCGTTTCCATTCTACTAAACATGTATTGTTGACCTTTTTGTGTCCCATTTGGAGAGACTTCCTTTCACTTCCAGCCATGACAAGAAGTGAGGGGAAATCTCCACCATATGGGCACAGGGAGCAATCAAAACCTGACAGTGACTTGAACCCTTTCTCTGCTCCAAAATTAAATGAGAGATTTTGGCTAGAGTTGTGTTTTATGTTATATTGAGGATGAAAGATTTATAGTTACCTCCTTATTTAGGCTTACTTACCACCCACTCCTTCTGACTGACACGCACTGACAGCCACCCATCAAGGCATTTTGATATTTGTATAACTCCTCTCAAGAGCCAACTGCTTACATCAGAGCTGAGGGCTCTTGAGAGCAATGAAAGCAGGTGCTGAGATATTTTCAGGAACAGGTACGCATCACATTGGCCCCTCCCACTAGCCATGATCTGCCCACATTGCATAGAGAAACACAGAAACCCAGTAACAATGATGAGTCTAAAATTAGGTATGTAATGAAAACAGAAATGTAGTATTTAAAAATGTAATGAGTATGTTGATGAGGGAGGAAAAGGGGAACCAGGGATGGCAAAATGTAAGGGAATTAAAGTTCAGCTTTAATTTAAGGGAATGATGGATAAAGAACAGGGAGCCGTGCACATCCAGAACTCTGCTAGGCTCAGACTTTGCAAACAAGACTTGGCTGCAGCTGAATCGTTGGCTGTACTCTATGCTAAGCATAATTTGTATGCAAATAGGTGTAGAACATTTCCCCGGGGATGATTGTAGGAACTCGGCAACCTTTTATAGGGCCAACAAGTCATGCAAAGCACAAGGAAAGGTTTGAATATTCATACCTGTATGTGGCCACATGTCAAAGCTGAATAAACCTGAACCAGGAACTTTGAAGCGGGTGTGTAAAGCCCAGCTCAAAGAAAATTAATTTTGGATAAAGCTTGGAAAGGTTAGAGCCTCTGTAGGGTTTTTGTTGGAAGAAATGTGCCAGACCAAAATGAGTTCAGGAAAACTTTAATTGTTTATGCATTGATAGAATACAACAGCCAACGTGTTTCATTCTGATTACGTCATACAGCAATTGTGTTCTAGGCACTAAGAATAGTGTTTTTGAAACTGCACAGTATTGCGTTTTATTTATGTAAGTGACGTAAAGTGGTTGTAAACCTCAGACATGAAATATGAACAAAGTATATCCCTCTATAGTGTGCACTTGTCTCAATTGAGAGCACTAGGTGTCATTTCTGTCTGATGCTTCATTCTTCTGCTATCAGGATGAATCACTTCTGACATGTTTTCATGACACACCTTAAGAAATCTAAAATAAATTGAATAAGTCAAGCGCTAACTATGGTGAAATAAAAACAAAAAATTACAATTAAATGCTGTAGCCGCTAGTGCACACACCCCATGTCTCTGAGGGGCAAACTATACAATCATAATGTGAAGTGAAAAAATGCTGCGCTACATGAATCAATGGCACAAACCATTATACAACTAAAAAAAAACAAAGTGAAGAGATAAATATATATTAGAAGAAAAAATTTTAGAAAAAATTTAATATTGAAATTAAAAAAAAAAAAAAAAATGTGTGTGTATATATATATATATATATATATATATATATATATATATATATAAATAAAAAATAACCACACAAAAAATAAAAAATAAAAGGATATCTTAAGTATGAATCAAACAAAAGTCATTCAAAAATTCAAGTTCAATCAATAAAGTGTTCATTCAGTGAAACCTCCTTTGGATAATGAAAAATATGTGCATCTGTCATCAATTCCCGTGCAGAGACATCCTCCACCATATATCTGCTCACCTCACGCAGTGTGACCTCACAGTATACAATGTTACGGTCTAACTGCACTTTTGGTCCCATATGGACTCAGAAGATTGCTGAATGAAGACTCCAAAGTAAGCTCCCTCCTGGTGAGCGTCTTTGTATCAGCCGTATTCCTCATTAAAAAGAACTCGACATAGTGCTTTATCCTTATAAACTTTTATTCATCAATTAAAACTATGAAATATTCTCACGTTCCGGAGGTGTATTTTGCACCAGGTATGATGAAGATCCCGTGATGTACTGATTAAACACTAGATGGCAGTATCATCTCAGCAGCAGAGTCCTGTACAATCTCAAAACAGACACCATCCGTAATATAATACAAGGCAAAGCACAGGCCACTTAATGAATGCTATTGTCTGCTGTAATGTCATTTCAAGAGCTGTTTGTAGAGTACTACAGGCCGCTATCCCCATGAATAGCAATGTCGTGACATCATCCGCACACTCCTCTCTGCGCTTTTCATCACTAGTCACGGGAAGCATAGTGGCTAAATGGTTAGCACTTCTGCCTGGCAGTACTAGGGTTGTTGGTTCGAATCCCAATCACAGCACCACCTGCCTAGAGTTTGCATGTGCCTGCGTGGGTTTCCTCCGGGTACTCCGGTTTCCTCCTACACTCCAAAGACATGATGGTAGGTTAATTGACTCCTGTCTAAATTGACCCTTAGATTGTACGCCCGTTGAGGGTTAGGGACTGATGTACAATATATATGTAAATTGACAGCGCTATATAAGTACCTGTAATAAATAAAATAAATAATAAGTCACGTGACTTTTATCAAGGGGATATGAACCGTGTCGTATCTCCTTGATAAGTCACGTGACTAGCGATGAAACGCGTTGGGGAGGAGTGTGCGGATGATGTCACGACGCTGCCATTCATCGTAATAGCAGCCTGTAGTACTCTACAAACAGCTCTTGGAACGACATTACAGCAGGCAATAGCATTCATTAAGTGGGCCGTGCTTTGCCTTAAATTATATTACGGATGGTGTCTGTTTTGAGCTTGTACAGGACTCTGCTGCTGAGATGATACTGCCATCTAGTGTTTAATCAGTACATCACGGGATCTTCATCATACCTGGTGCAACATACACCTCCGGAACGTGAGAGTATTTCATATGTTTTAATTGATGAATAAACGTTTATAAGGATAAAGCACTATGTCGAGTTCTTTTTAATGAGGAATACGGCTGATACAAAGACGCTCATCAGGAGAGAGCTTACTTTGGAGTCTTCATTCAGCAAGCTGATCTTCTGAGTCCATATGGGACCAAAAGTGCAGTTAGACCGTAACATTGTATACTGTGAGGTCACACTGCGTGAGGTGAGCAGATATAAGGTGGAGGATGTCTCTGCACGGGAACTGATGACAGATGCACATATTTTTTGTTATCCAAAGGAGGGTTCACTGAATGAACACTTCACTGATTGAACTTGATTTTTTAAATTACTTTTATTTGATTCATACTTAAAATATAATTTATTTTTAATTTTTTGTGTTTTTTGTTTTTTTATATATATATATTTATATTTCAATAGT